AGTTTTATCTCAAAACATCAAAATTTATTAATTATTAAAATTTGTAATCTTTATATTTCTAAATAAATACAAAATGTCATTTCAAATATTTGTTAAAAATCATTAATAATTTAATCAGTATTTTCTAAAAGTTTTACTTTAAAAAAATAAATAATTAGACAATATCTCAATGAAAATACCCTTTTTTCCAATAAATTTATAGATTTTTCTAATATTTGAAAAATTCATGAATTGTTGATTATTTACACATTTTATGAATACATTAATAAAATGGTTGATCAATGGATGAGATTTATATATAAATGGTTTAATAAATTATATTAATATTAATTGATATGACAAAAGATGAAATTATTTGAAATAATTTCGATAAAATGTCAATTGATTAATTATTAAAACCTTAAGTACTATTTAATTGCTTATAAATAGCTATTAAATATGAATCTCAAAATAAATCTGAATTTTTATGCGTCAGACGCGCGACTATGTCTTCGGGAATGGTCTCTATTCCGACTGTTGGGCCGACTATTGCTACTATAGTTGTAATCCCTTTCGAGATAAGGCGCGTGCACTTCAACCTTAAGCTTTGCGGTGGCCATCACTTTAGTGGTGACCGTATGTTGTGATTGACTTAAGCCTGAAGTGGGAGGTAGTGATGATTTGGTACCACAACTGTTATCACTCATGGAAGACGTTCCGCTGCTTTCACTCATTGCCGGACTCTCGCGATCTGTTGAAGGCGTCGGACTCTCTGAGGCACTCGTCTGGAAATGAAGCATTTGTTTCAATATTTGCGATTCAATACTAAAGTCATATTAAAGATTCACTGAATCACTGAAGAAGAAGAAGAAGAAGAATCACTGCTTTTATACCTCACTTGAAGACGTGGGTGTAGTAGAGGCTGAGGTAGTGCAAACCCTATACCAAACTCACGTTGGCAAGTATCCCAAACACTATCATCACCAGAGCTGGTGCTTGAGACCGACTTGGTGTTAGAGTACACTGCTCACCATTCTAACACCAAGAAGACTTTACCAGGACAAAGATATCTCCGACTGAACTCTTGGATATGTTCTGCGAGAAAAATATGGACCACTGACTGAACGCTGCTTTTTTCGGTTCACATTTGGTGAGGGAACAGGAGATGGGGTGGATATGCGGTCCTCGTAGTCGAATGGGATTATTTCGGATGGCGGACCAATCAGGGAGAGAAGGACTGGTAGTAATACCAATCCATTGAGTGCTCCCAATATAACGACACCGAATAACACGTAAAAGAAATATCTAGTAAATAGAAAATTTAAATATTAGTAAGTGGTATACAATATTAGTAAGTGGTATACAATATTAGTAAGTGGTATACAATATTAGTAATTAATAAAACAATTAAATATAATGACAATAATTACCTGATAATGAAGTCAAACTCAGAAAAGGCTAACATAACGATCCCGAAGAGTGTGGAGACAATGCCGTGAGTGACGGGAGTAAACATATGCTGTAAAGCCATTCGCATTCTATGGTTTCTGCTGCCAATACTCATCAAAAAGCTCTGTAATTGAGAAATTCGTTTAGAAAATAATACTAACTTTTGAAACGTTTTGATTGAAACAAACCAGAGTTATGTGAGAAACAAAGTCAACACCGATTCCAACGGAAACTATAAGAATAACTGCGGGAACGGCACTCAGTTTGATGCCCAACAGACCCATGAGACCGAACAACTCAATTACAATCATTATTAAGACCACAACTATAAGGGTTGCCGTCCAGGGGTTGAGCAGAAAGGCACTGATCACTAGGAATACTGCGGCCAATACGACCACGAGAGCCGAGAATAAGTAGAACCGAAGTCTAACGTATTGTTCCCAATATATGAATGGAATTCCTGTCGGAAAGTTTGGAAGTCCTTTATCTTCAAACTTCTGACAAATGGCTCGAATTTCTTGAATAGTATCCGTAATCTCTGCAGTGGTTCTCATGTTATTTAAATAGAAAGGCATTTGTGCGTAAACCAAAGGTTGAGATTTAGCTATTTTGAGCTCAACATCTTGTGCCACATGTATCCACTGTCTGGGCTCGGGTCGGAAACTGGCCTGGGATGCAGAGTAAGCCAACGCGTCGTTTGAAACCCAAGCCGTCAAATAGTTGTAAAAAGCTTTCGGGTTAATCACTCCCACCTCATCCACTAATCGCATACTTAATACCTTTATAATGAAATAAACATTTAATACTTTTTAATAAATTTTTAAAATTAAATTAAATTACCAAAGACTTATCCACTGGATTGTCTACCCGTCCGGTTTGGACTAAGAGTTTGTAGGCAAGTATTCCTTCATCGGATGCGTTTGCAAACCAATTCTCTCGAGTAATGCACCCATTCTTCCAGTCCCTGTCAAAGGCCTCCTGAAGTCCTAATAGCCAGTCCCTAAACATAGTGAGCCAGAACTCAGGAAGGCCTCCGTCATCATTCTTAATGATAGGGCCGATACGTGTGAACGCCTGGTGGTACTCGTGGAGCAGCTTCTGGTTGTTGGGGTACTCGAAGTTACCCTGAGTTACGGCAAACATATTGAAGAAACTGAAATATCTTCGTTGGAAACTGAGAAATCTATATTCAATGGTATTTCGGGGCACTATATCTGTTAAGTCTAGACCGTCGTCGACCCGTAACAGACCTGAGACACTGATTATTAAAATAACTAAAAACATGAACACAACCACAGCTTTCACTGGTTTTCGTTGCAATACTGGTCCGTAAATATTGTCCGCAAAATAGGTTAACGTATATTTGTTGAGATTCTTGCACTGTTTGCTACCATTGTTCACATCCAGAGCACAGTTATGTTCTCTCACTTGGCTATCATTTGCAGCACATTTGCACATCTTTTGATCATTTTTACATAGAAATGGTTGGCTAACACTCTTATCGTGCGCTAATACAGTGACCACATGTGAGCGTGAGGGTGGCAGTGCCTGAACGATACACTTCTTAATATCGCTCTTATTTTTATAAAATACTTTTTTCTGACTTGACGGAAACTGATTAGCACTGGAATCAGTGTTTGAGACACTAGTGTACAGACAACACGACTTATCCCTTCTATTGATACGACTCCTTCTGAGGTCAATGCTGGCCACGGCTGGGATCAGAAATATTACTGACACTGATATGAAGGCTATGAGGATCGCCGCCTGAAGCGCAAAGCATCTGAGGGCTGGGATAGGAATGATTGCCGCGGCCAAGAAGGCAAAGATATTGCCGAAAGAGGTGAGCAAAATACTGGATCCAATCTGTTTCAGACATTCGCCGCTCTTTTTCTAAACAATAATTACAAATTAATCAATTGTTTTAGAAAAGTACTCATCTTTGAACGTACTTTAAAAGGCGTCTCTGAAATTTGAGAGTATGTGTGCGCCAACAGAAACATATTGTCAACACCTAATCCGAGGGCCAGGAATGGGATTATCTGTGAAAATGCATCATAATTATAGTTACGGTACTATTGTATGAAATATTGTATGATTTACTTGAGTAGTCGAGGCATTGAATGCTAAACCAATTAAGGCACAAAACCCAAGTCCAGCCGCAGCTGAAAGACCAATGATTATAACACCAGCTATTCCTAGAAGACTAAGACAATCGGCTCTACTGTTCCATTTGGAGAGAGAATACCCGGCGTATAACAACATAAGGGTATACCCGATGGCAACCCTCTTAACATTGACATCTGAAAAGTTCTTCATTATATCCATTAATGAAGTGCTGGTAAAAAGATGTATGTCTTGATGTTTGAGGTTATGGTCATTGTTTGTAAACTTTTGCACTTCCTATGAGACAATGATATTTTGAGTTTAATTAAATCCAGACAATGTATAGACTAACAGAAATGACTCACTTCAGCAAACTTTCTCTGCCAGGCCTCGAGAACCATACGTGCCTTATCGACAGACCAGTCCAGGTTATGGACTTTGTAGGTGTGCTGATAGAAGTCATACATCTCTTGTTCGGCCATCAATTGGATGATTGATTGAAGAGCTTTGGCGCGAACTATATGTCCCGTCTTATTCTTCTTGACTCCGCCCACAATTAGGTCTTCGGGCCAATGCATGAACTTTGTGGCAAACCCATAGCACCCACCGGTTAGCTCAGCGCCAATATCTGGGGTCTGACCCGAGAGCTTATTCGGTGCGGTTGACGGACAGCTGCTATCAGTTGGGTCTAAACAGGGCTTCTTCTGGTAGGCAGACGTTATGCCAGCCTTTAAGAAGAATTGTGTTAATTGTAAACATAATTTACAAATTGTTTCAAATTTCAATTCAATACCCTTTTCATGAATTTAACTAATGTTGAAAATGGAAAACCATTTGTTTGACTTTCAGGTCCTCTCATTGATGTCATCATTGTTTCAATGAGTAGCTCTGGGTTTAAGTTAGTCCACTGAACATTAATTCCCAGTCCACTAATCATATATACGATAATATAAATATATTAGTTGTTCAACATTCATGATAAGTGTTTAACTCACGGAATGGGAACTGGAAATTCAGGGCCGAGTAGTTTGGCGCCATCCCAGAAACAGTCCAATGGTGTGATTATAGCACACGGAAAGATATTCTCGAGCATCTGATCCACAAATCAAATGAATTCAGTGTTAGTCTTAATAGTATAAAGTATGACTCTTAAGTTGTTTTAATGGATTACTTACAGAATCAATATAATGAGTATCAAAACTGGGAATACTTGGAGAGTAACAGATGTCTTTGAGTCTCCACGTGCTGCCAATTGAACAGTTAATTCACAATTAGTTAATTACTTAACATTACTTAATGATAGGACATAAGTGTCTAAAACTAAGTGCAAGTAATGGCAAGTGGAGTGAAGACAAGACAACTTACACTTCAAACATATCAACGGTTACTTTTGTGGCCACTTTCATGGCCTGGAGGTGCAGTTGCAGAGCATTCACGTGCAGAACACTGGCTCCGGTGCTCTTTGG